GCCCAGCGGCGCCAAGGAAGGCCGGCATGACCTTGGCTCAGCCCCTGCTTCCCACACCGGGAAAACGACGCCGAAAGGGGAAAATSTCCCCCTTTCCGCCGGCGCGGTGGCAGGGGCAGTGACAGGGACGTTCTCCACCCTGCCGGCAGAAAAGCCCCCCCGCTCCCGGTCGTGGCGCGTGCCGGGCCCGGCCCCCTTGCCCCCGCCCCGTGTAAGGGGATCCCGGCGGGTCCGGCCGTGCCCGCCGCCCATCACATGCTTCAGCGCCGGGTATTTTTATCCTCTTGTTGTGGATACGCCGCAGGACGGGCCTCTCCAAAGGGCAACAATCCCCCCCAGCACTGCGGAGGAAATGCCCACTTCATTCGGGATGCACAGACGCAAAGGGGAGACAGAGRGCCTTGTCGTTAGGGTAAGGGCAAGGGGACAAGCAGCAGCAGCAAAATCCATCTCTGTTTCCAGGGGGTGGCCCCTCGGGCTGAGCCCTTCCCCAGCCGGAGCTGCAAGGCTGGCGCGACGCCGGCGTCGCGCCCTGGGGCCAGCCCRGCTTCCCAATCCCGCAGCCCGATCCCGGGCGCGAGGCGGTGCCCGGGCCGGGAGAGCCCGGGAAGAATCCAGAGCCCATCCTGCGGGCGCCGTCCCGGATAGACGCCCACGGCGTCGCTCCGGCTCCGGCTGCACGGGATCGTGACGCGCACGGAGGCGGAGCTGCCGCACGGAGCTTCCCGGCACCGCACGGAGCCGCCGGGAAGGTGCCGGGCACCCCCCGCCATSGCAGGGACCCACAAAGAGCCTCTCCCTGCCTGGGAGCGGGAGCTTTGGGGCGAGGCGGGCGCCCAGGAGGGGCTGCGGGAACCCGCACGAGGTGCAAACATTCCCTGCCCTAAAGGAGCGGCTGTGCGGAACCCGCAACGCAGCCGAGCCCCTTTCCCCCGGATTAATCCCTGCAGCATCCGGGAGTTTCGCTCCCAGCAGGTCCCGTCGCAGCTGGCCAGGCTGCTGGCAGGGTCACCGCAGCCGCGGGCCTCCTGCAGTACGAAGGGCATTTAATGCGTGACTGTATTTTAAAGCCACAGATAAGCAGGCTGCAGGGAAACAGCAGTTACGGCCCTCTGCCATTCTAACCTGCAGCGGAGTTTTCTGTAAAATTTAGGCTGGATTCCACCAAAATATGTGCGCTGTGGAAGTGCCATTTATCGTATTTGCAAAGGTTCTCCACGCTCAACATCCCCAGCCTGGAATACAAGGCGGAGGGGGAAAGCGAGCGTGTCTTTCACAGGCTGCCTACGGATGATGTTGGCTAAAGGAGAATTTCATCAGATTCTTCCCCGTTGCCCAAGGAGGGAATCAGCTCTGCGCGAGAGGCGGGACGCGCGGCTGAACGTGTGAACCCCGCGCTGCGCTCCGAGCGCCTCGTGCAGCCGCTGCTCCGCCGAGACGCCCAAGGTCACGCGAGGCGCTGGCTGCGGGAAGGGGCCTGGGCCGCAGCTCCGCATCCCGGCGCCGGGAGATCCCAGCGGATGGGGCTTCCCGCGAGGCCGGCACCGACCCGCGCTCGGCTCTTCCCGAAGGTGACACAGCCGCCCCTCGGCCCGGTGCCCCCGCTCCCTTCGTGCCACGTCCCGCCCGCCGCTGCGCGGGCACCACATGGCAAAAGCCGTCGGCATCCGCGACAGCTGCCTGCTCCCAACGCCCATCCCGCCCCGGCCCCACCGCAGGAGGTGAACCCGGAGCCACGGAGTCAAATTCAGCCCCTTCTCTGCCCCTTTTCCCGAGCTGCTTGACCGAGCTCAGACCAGAGCAACTTGGGAATAACAACAGCGAGACGCAACGCTGGAATCCGCCACACGGCACAAACAGCAGCTCAGCGTGGCAAGGGAGACGTTGAGACTCAACGTGCCCCGACAAAGCAACCCAAGCCAAAGAGCAGCAGCTCGTGGGGGCYGGATTGCATCACCACGTCTGAAAGGTTACGCTCGCGCAGAGAAACAAACCACTTTCCACTGCTCTCCCCACCCCTCTGATGAAAACCCAGGCAATAAACAACTGGACGGGCTCCAGCAGCAAGCGACCCAACCAAGCCCTCGACACCTGGGCYGCGGCGGTTACCCAACGCTCCTGTTTATTTCCCCGTGTTATCGGTTTCACAACAGGCACGGGGTGAAATCCTGATCCCAGCCCTGTCACCCCCTCTCGCTGCTACTTGCAGACCAAATAAACCCAAGTGGGGAAAAAAAAAAACAGCAAAACCCAAAAGCTCCCCCTACAGCAAGAGCCCTCTTGCTAAAGCTCGGGTCCAGGCCGGGCCTTTCACAGCAGGGCCCGCTTTTCCAAAGCGCTAACCACGCACAACGTACAAAGTCCTGCTCCTTCCAACAGGCTGCGATAGAGACCAAACAAGTCAGGGCCAGCCCTGCGCAGAGTCCTCACAGGACTCCCGTTCTCTCCTACTGCAGGTGAAAAAAGGCAGTGCCTACCTCTTTGGTGAGGTCTCCGTTCCCCGGAGGTGCCACCGCTCCCAAATCTTCCAGCTCTTCACCAAAGCCCTGCTCAGCTCCGCTCTCCCTCACGCCGCCGCCAGGGCTCTCGGGGCTGCTCCCATCCTGCAGGGCGCCGCCGTTCTCGAGGGCGATGCCGGCGCCGGGCTGGGTGCTGGACACGGAGCCCTCGGGGTCTCTGTGCACCAACCAGGCATTGACCTCAGTGCTGGGCACCTGAAACCTGTCCAGGGCCCTCACCTGGTTGAGGAGCCTGCGAGCTGTGAAGTAATAGTCCAGGTCTACGCTCTTTGGATGGATGCCATATCCATCCAAGGTGTTGCGCAGGTTGTGAAACTGGGTCTGAGTGTACGCGGAGCTCTGGCCGAGGATGATCTCCCGCAGAGGGGGSAGCTGCGAGGTCAGGTAGGTGTCCACGTCCACGCGAACGCCTATGAGGCTGAGCAGGATGGTGAACTGGATGAGGCCTTCCGTGAAATATTTCTTCAGAGAAAGCATTTCTGAAGGAGGGAAAGAGAAAGCAGGTGGAGGGTTAAACAAAAAACATCCCATTAATTCTCCACACAACAGGTCGGATGGGTTTGTCTTTCTTCTGCYCCACTTTTAAGCAAGCAAAATAACACAAAGACTTAAGATTTCAGGCTATCACAAAACCACAAGATAAAAGTCTACAGAACATTCAAAACTTTTGAGTCTCCGATGATTTTGYTATTCTTCTTAAGACTCCTAACATGCCATAAGTTGGCCAAGAGAGTCCAATTAGAGACTTATACCTCAAAAAGTGGGAAAAAAAAAGCTATTTCCAAAGCCGCCCTCCGCCCTCCAGGGCCTTCCCTCCTCTGGGGGCCCTGCGTGCTCCGCGCGGAGCCACATAACAACGCRCGTGACTTACTGTCCCCAAGCGCCACATGCAGCAGCTCCTGCAGGGCCCTGGGCTCCGGGCCGGCCGCCGGTCCCGTCCCGCGCCCAGCGGCTCCCGGCGGGAGCCCCTAGGAGCCAAAGGCAGCGCTCAGGGAAGGGGCCAAAGGCTCCCGCGCCTGCCCCGGGCGCCGAAGCACAGCCCGGGGCGCGGCAGCCCGCGCCGGGGTCCCCGCGCCACCGAGGGTCCCCCCGGCCGCACCATTGTCCCCGCTTCCCCTCGCCGGGCTATTCTTAGCGCGCTGCGTCAACTTCCCCCCGGGGGAGGCGCCGGCCCCGCCGCCTCGCGGCCCGCTCCGCTCCGCTCCGCGGCGGGACCCCCGCGGGGCGCGAGGCCCCGGCGCGCGGCCGCTGCCCTAGGGCGGCTCCCGCCGCTGCGGCCCCTTTAAGACCCTCCCTGCGCCGCTGCGGCCCCTTTAAAATCCAGCGCCCCCCTCCC